AGTTAGCGTTCGCTCTTGTCGCGAACCTTCGGTAACCTGCTTTTCGAGTATCACATGACGATCTAAATGATGTTTTGAATCTGCAGTGGGTCTCCTTGTGCCCCCGTCTAAAGCACCTTTGACAAACATGTTTGCTGAAAGGACACCATCTCACAAAATGCCATCCTCCGCATTGCCAGCAAGGTGATGGGGGTTTGGATTGTGGATATCTGCTAGTTTGAGCGATCGGTGGGTTGTTTCCTGAAATTTGCTGGACAGATATATCTGCGGAATGTGCTCTCGAATCTTCCACCATAGCCGTATCGTGCTTTAAATTCTTGATTCTTGGCTTCAGCAATGGCGTTTTGTAATGTAACATCTGTGTCGCGTTCCAACATACCAAGTATTCTCGTTCGTATCTCGGCGTCTTTTGGGGACTGTAGACTGCATACTAGTATCAAACACTCGAACTGGTCTTCCGTGAGCGACTTCAGTTTGAATGTCTGGCATTCACGTTTGACTATCGCCGCGTGAGCAATAAGACTGTCATTGTCCTTTTTGCATAGCTTTAGACAATTGTATCGGTTATTGAAAAGAGACGACTGGTCTCCAAACAACGCTGTGAGTCGAGCAACTGTATCATCAAAGCTGAACTCATGCGCGTTGTTTGGCAAAATGTAGTTAATGTATCTGTCATGTTCCACCGTTCCGAGTTTTCGTAACAAAAGGCGAACTTTAGATGCATCATCGAGACCTGACAACTCTGCCCTGAAAATATCTTCATAGCGCCTGAACCACGCATCGAATATTAATCCTGAGTCAGGATCGAATATGAACTAATTAACACTACTGATCACCGCATCCGCCGAAGGCTTCCCATTGTTCTGAACGACCGTAGGCTGCACAGATAACATTTGGGTGAGGGTTTCAATCATACGCAGCTGTGCTGTTTCAAATTGCTGCTGTTACTGCAACAAAATGATTTTCAGGTCTTCCGCTGAAATTGACATCTTGGTCCACTACTTTCCGTCGCCAAAAATATATGTTATGGTTTCGGCTGACCTACCGATGACCTGCTGCTAGCGTGCACTCTGATCAGCCCGACTTCCCAAAGCAGGAGACCGGCGTACGGCTGGCACGTATATTTGCTTAACGTCCAACTAACGGTACATTCAATTTATGGCCAAATCAATGGCCCTCAGCGTAAAACGCTCTCATTGACTGGTTCCGTCCCATTAACACCAGGAAAGCTGACATCAACTGGTTAGCGCGACCAGATATTCCATCCGACCTCAACATCAGTGAGAGTCGCGAATGAGGGACAGTGTCAAAGGCCCTGGCGAAGTCAATGAACACCACGTCCACCGCATGTCCACTGTCTACCGCTTCTGCCCAACACTCACGAGCTACCAGCAAGTTCGTCTAACACGAACATCCTTTGCGAAAACCATGTTGCTCGAAGCTAAGCAGAATAAACACATTTAAATGGTTCTCCACCATATTTCGTACCAACTTTTCAAGTAACTTAACGACCACGCTAGTCAAGCTGACCGGTCTGTTATTAGCCGGTAGGTCCTTGGCACCGCACTTGAAAATCGGGAAGACGACAGCCTCCTTACATACGGTAGGTAAAACACAGCTGTTGAGTGACTTCTGAAACACACAAGTCGGGGGTCCACTGAGTTCCACTGCCAATTCATACAACAATTTCGGATGAACAGAATCTGGCCAGGAAGCCTTAGTTGGGTTTACCTCTCAGCAACCGGAGAACTTGGGACTCAGTCATAGGAATTTCATCTAGCCAACAGTCCTCAGATACTCTTGAAGCTAACTCTTTGCATGGCGTATTTGTTTCGCGGACAAAGACGCTTGAGTAATGCTCACTAAGAACTCATGCCTTGTCATAGTCACTATAGGCATGGGTCCCATTTCCTCGAAGCAATGGTGGTATGGGCGAGTTTGCACCACAGTGTCGTTTAGTTTAAGCGAAGAATTTCTTGGGATTTTTCGAGGCAGTGTCAGCTAAGCCGTTTTAGTACTGGAGCCGGTCCAACCTAAGATGTAGCTTGAACTCATTCTAACCAACCGATACTTGTCAAACATACAGTACAACGGAATCGTTCGGTACGCTGGCCAGCATCTAGACCGCTTCTTTGCAAGCCCTTGCCCGCGGAATCTATCCATGGAGGCTGCGCTCTCGATTCACTTCTTTCTACCAGTGGGATGTGAGGTGCAGAATTGTTGACGAGGTGAACCTTACGTTTTTCCCAGGCGACGTGCACAGTGTCGGTCGCACACTTCACAAAAGGCGATGACCTAGCCTTATCCCGCATCGCTTGGAAGTCCGCGTCCCAACTGTCAGGATACCTACTGGTAGTAGCTTGGCAAGACCTGATAAGGGTACACTAGAAAGACAAGCAAACATGCTCGCTAGCGCCAAGAGGCGAGTCGTATTTAATGTCATTTACAAAGTTAAGTGAGAGCAAAAAAGACCTAGGATGGTCGGCTGCTGATTGCTCATATACCTAGTGGGGAGGTCCACAAACTGATGTAGTGGTACCTGCAGTGTTTAATTCAGCAGTTCTGTACCGGACGATCTCAGAGCCAAAAAGCAAGATAGATCATCCCAACAAACCTATGGGTGATTGAAGTTTCCCAGTACCAAGCACTTGTTTGCAGAGTGAGTGCGTATAAACTCAATGCTTCCATTGGAGGTGCTCATAGAGCTTCTATACACTAACACGACCGTAGTCTGAACCGAGGAAGCGCAAAGCAAGACTGCAAAAGCCTCAACAGATTTGTCGCGAGACTGAAAAACGCTGGTCCTCAATACATCAATGTGATAACTCACATAAATAGCTACACCACCTCCTTGACGGCCAATTGAGCGGTCAGCGCGGAACAGTGCGTAGCCAGGCAGATATAATTCGCCATCTGTGGTTCCCTCAGACAGCCACGTTTCAATGAAAGCAAGTATATCTAGATGAGATTTGCCTGCGAGCCGACCCACCTCGTACATCGTGTTCCTCAGGCTACGCACGTTACTAAGTACTACTTGGAGGGCTTCGGCACGACCAACCCTGGGTCGTGCGCAAGTAGAATAGGTTCTGGCAGGGCGGAAAAGGATCGCCGGCTGACCACATGAAAACCTACAAATCGGAGACCTTGCTCGCCAGCTACACGCCGGACTTTCATGTCTCTGATGGCTTCCTTTAACTGTAACCTATCCGCTAACGGAAGGTCTGGTTGCACACTAATGTTGGTAGCTTTGAGCTAGAAGGCAAATCTTAGTAAGGCCCTGCGCTCTTCTGGGGTGGAGAGGACCACCCCAAGCAGACGGGGTCGAGGATTTTGTCGGCCAACCGGCACGTTCCCTGAGCTGATGAGCTTCCTGACAGTAACGCCGGATAAACCTGGTGGTAAAAGCCTGGTCACGCAAGCTTCGAGCCAACCAAGATCATTAAGCATGCGCTCGGTGGGAAGAGCGGCAGTGGATTCAGTGACGTTTCCGAAAATCACACTGCTATCTGTGTAAGCATCTCCTCGACGAGGTGTATTTACACCACATGCTCTACCATCCACACCACATGGCTGTTTGACAGGAATCGCTGAGACCGAAGGTGACGGCACCTCTTTTCTCACTGAGGGAAGTACAACACCAGGTGGTGTTTCGAACTCAGGCGTTTGTTTCTTGAGCATTTTATCCCCTTCCGGTTTGGGGGCAGAGGGTGGGCGCGCCATTCTTGCCCTCACGCTTATTCTTCAAAGGCTCAGGAGCCAATGACTCTCCTTTCATTTGGGGTGGGTCAACAATGCTCTCCGAGGCATCTGTGTCAGTTACATCCACGTGAACAGGAGCGTCCGGTAGGATGAACGCCTCGTCAACGGTTGGACTGTCAGCAGGATAGTCCGTTACAGCGTCCACTTGCGCAATATTCAGGGATTTCATAATCACATCCACTTTAGAGTTGAGAGAGGCAAGAGTGACAAGCTCGGATAATGACGTCTCAATCACTGTGAATCTGGATGCCAGTGCTTTGAATTCAGCACGGGTGAAAGCCGGGAGCTTCGCTTTCTGAGTGCAACAATCAGCACATCTAAATGGAAGGTTTTCACTGGATGATAGTATAATGTACTGATTCAGTCGAAGGCTGGTACAACTTTTGTGCTACCAACGAGAGCAAACATCACACTGCATACCACCAGATGAATCCGTGACTGGCCGTGAACTGGCAGAATAGCTGCCAGCTGCACTTAACTCATCAAACGAGGACGCAAGGGGTACACCCGCCTCGGTTTTTCGCGAGACGGCCACGTTTAAGTGAAAAACCGAGCAGAATTTAGAAAAACGTATACAATCGTAAAACTACCGCAATAAAAAGGCAAACAGGGTGCAAAACGCGACTAAAAAGGGAACAACTGCAAAATTACCAATATGCGTCAGGAGACGCTTTGTCCAGACCACCTTAGTCGATCGAAACTATCTTTAAAGTCTTTATTCAAACACTGTTTTCTACGCTATTTCAGCTAAAAATCTCGATCAGTATGGTGTAGCCGGTCCGCGGGCATCACGGTAACACGTTAACAGGTATGAGGTAGGTCGGTTTTGCTTCCTGTTATCATTACTCTCATATTCCTCTCCGGCACTCTTCCTTCCCTCTTTTGTGCTTTCTTAGCTGCTTCCTTTACATCGGCCTCTTACTAGGCGGCTCGAGCATACAGCCGTCTACGAGGTATTTATTTTGCATTGCAGCTTGTCGCACTACTTGAACACGGAAGAGCTCAGAACGCCGGACCGGAGGATTGTTACATATGGCACACCAAAAATCGAGTTACCGCGTAGAACTCACAGGTCAATACATTGTTTAGCCAGGACGTGTGGCTGTATTGTTTTAGTGTATCGAATATATTAACTCGACATCATATCCTGGTTCATGGATGCGAAAATGGGAACATTCTAGTGGCTATCCTGTTGTTCCGTCCCTAGCTGTACTCAATGTACTGAGGAGGTGACCTTGGCTGAACACACAAGCTGCGGTTATTGCTTGTCGGTGAATTCCACGAGGCCGTGTTCATTTGCCCGTTTGGTGATTCCACGTCTTTTCATATGGGTACTGTTACACGAAAGTGAGCCACCTAAAGTCACATAATCACTATACCAGATTTCGCTTAGGCAATAGATTTGAGCCGAGTCTCTCCTCTCACCATCCCGTTTTGGTATCTTTTTCCTCATTTTACCTACTCCATAGCTTACTTCTGGAGACGTCCTGTTCTGTGGGAAAGATGTAGAGGATTCTATCACTATATCTGCTTTAAGCGCAAATACCTTTGCTCTTATCAAGAAAATATCTGACGATGATAAAGTAACCTGTTTTACTGTTTCCACGGATGGAATGGTTAGTGTGTCATTTATAAGATGATTCTGTTAGAACATATTCGTCGCACTGCGAAGCCTCTTTATCAAAAGGATAGATTATGGATCTTCGGCTGTAAAAATCTGGAGGGTTTGTCCATCTGTTTCCTCTCAACTTTAGTCGGAACATCATCGCCCTGTTCTGCGAATGTCCGTTAACAAAGATTGCACACGATTCGCCACGGGATCCGGCGACACATCCATTCGTCTATGGCACATTGGGCCGAAGGAAGGGTTCTCGGCTACTCTGCGACTTCACAAAAGTATGCCTACGTGAGTTTTGTAGCAACCCAAAATATATTTATCTTTAGGCACAGGTTTATTTTTCCTCAATCGTACATTGATTTTTGTTCGAATTCCTACCTTCATCAAGTTTTATTTACGTCCGGCTCAACACTTGTGTCCTCAGTGTGTCTCGGCAATAACGTTCGGTCTGGCCGCCTCATATGTTTTCGTTCGTTTCTAGCCTTCCTAGAATGCGGTCCGCTGTGCCCGACTTTATTTAACTTCTGATATCCGCGCTCGATTACGCACACCTTCTCGGGGTAGTATTTACTAGTCCTACCATATTCGCTATCCATTCAGTCCGTACTTTAATATTTCAGTATCGGGTTTGTGTGTATCCCCATTATCGCCTTCAATATTAACCAAAATTCTCCGGTCTACATGTTACTTGGATTTAATTTTTCCATTTTGCCTCTTTTATTCAATAATTTTCAACGGCGATGCACCCACTACCCAGTTAAATTCCTCAGTCTACGTAATGCACAACTTTACCAACTGCATGCGTCAGCCTAAAGGATCAATTCCACATTTCTGGAAGATCATCTGAACAATACTGTAGGACCTGCAGCCGCACGTGCACTGCGTGCCATTCGATGTGGCTGCTTCTCTTTCTCACACAAGGAACAATTGGCCCTTAGCCTAAAGGAACGAACTTATCCTGTAATCTGATGATGCGGGTTCTAGCTTGTGTATGGGGCAGGGCAACCCTCGCAGTATCCGTAGCCTACGTGCGACGGATGATGGTTGCGCGGCAGCGCAGCTTTGTTACTGCGTACCGGCGCACTGTTGTTGCATTCATGCACAGTTTCTCTAGACCCTTACGTCCACGGTTCGGTAGCCGAACATCTGTTAGCATTGATGGCAGTCATTAAGCGAACCGACCAAGTTTATCTCAGTTGGCCCAGTCAACCCTGAGAAACCTTTTTAGCGTGACCCCATCATTTGGCGTGCCCTTTCAAAGTGCTTGATATTTTTCTTGGACTACTAGCCGATTGATGATCCCTTGGTAGCGAGGAAATCGAAGTAGTTGATCAACTCATCTACCTCGGCAGTTGCATCAACAGTGACGGACGTATGAGTGCTGAAGTTTGCTCACGTACAACAATAACTAAACCTGCGTTCATGAACCCACGACATACTACGTCATTAGGGGGTTTCTTTCCAGCTTAACTGTAATGTGTACAATCTCATAATGAGGACCGCCCTAATGTATTCTAGTGAGACTTGTCCTTTTCGGTAGGCGGAAAGGATTACGCGCCCGCATTGTAGTCAAAAGGTCGCGGGTTCGAATCCACAGGAGTGCGGTCGCGTTGTAACGAAGCATGGGCACTGTGTGCAGGCGTATTACCGATACTTTCGGTCCGAGGATCTAAAACCCTTTCAAACCTTTGATTATCGCGGCTTTCGAGCATTGCTGGTCTCGGATGCTCCTAGCGTATCTTCAACCATGGTATGCTTATGCGAGTGTTAGCAGGATAGTCGGCGTATTACTCTAGAACGCAATTAGCATTAAACAAGTTGCGTTTGCACGTGATACGTATCCATTTAGTTCATTTCGCTTGAACCACTATGGTCCGGGCACCGAACTGCGGTTGATCTAGTTGCCGCCATCAAAGCACTACTTGTTTTTCACTTAACGTACCTACTGAACACATTTCTTGTTCGGTGGCACAAACGAGTATGTAATGCTGTGTCACTAGTTGAGACCTATCAACGGATTCACTACTACTGCAATACATGTGTTCTGCTTGCACCACTTGCGTTTGCTTGGTCAACTTTTTCGACTGTTTATCTGCAACTCCTTACTGTTGGTATACTGGGTTGGGCGGTGCGTATCAGTGGCAGTGCGAGATTCATCCAAGTGCTTGTATCTGGTCTTCCTATCTTACGATACGGTGAAAAAGCTGATATACCGGCACTTTTGTTCCTTCTTTCCTTTCATCCCTTCTATCCGATAAGTGTTGTCTTTCACGCAGTACCTTTCACGTTAAGTATTCTAACCAATTACCCCTGCACTCTGTTTTTCATTCATTACCATGGTGTCGGGAGTCAGTATACCTTGATCCACCGCACTTCGGTTGACCGACTGATTACACTGGACATTTGATGTAAACTATGGGATGGCACCAAAGGCTTTAAATGTTTACTTCATGCATTTAGGTCCAGCTTTGGGTATGTGTCGTCTTCCTACCTTTTTGTAGTCTTCTCAATATAAATTTTGATGGCATCGATGCACCAGCGCAAGGTGCATTTTCCTCTTATGTAGCCATCTTTGTCCTCGGTACACTGCTCATGTCGAGTGGAGCCAGCTTCCTTAAGAGGCACGCAGAATACCAGGCGACATTTCATTACTTAAACCAACAAGAGTAAATAAGTCGCATCGGTTTGAGCTCATACCGGTTGTAACCACTTTGTGCTGCTCAACCGTATTGGGCCTCATTAGGTTCGTATGTAACAATTGTTGCGCTAGCACCGAGTACTGTTTGTCTTTCTTCCACCGCAGTCTTGAATCCACGTGCTCCAACCTGTTCTAGACTGCAGACATAACAGAATGGAGCGATCGACACCGATGATGCATGCTTCACCCTCCCTCCGAAATACTGTTTGGAGTGTGCCGTTTTCTACAACGTTTAAATTTCGACCATCTATTTTAGCTGTCTCTTAAAATATTTACATTTCAACACTGCCTTGGGACCCGTTGCCAAGTTTTAACTCTGGGATCGTTAACCGACTTTTTAACCTGTGGGTTCTTCTGCCACGGAAGAAAGTTTCGACCTTGATCCACAGTTTTACAGAGGTCGGTGCACTTGAGTTCGAAAAGGTCGCCACTCACTCAATCAGAGTTGGGTTCATTTGTATCAGCAGTTATTATTTACTCTCTCGACAAGGCAAGTTTTATGTGATGCGATGATTTATGTCTCTGCTCCATTTAGCTACGCTGTATAGCAATTTCGTAATGCCTTCAGAACCACTGACCGTGTAACTCCCTGTTTAATGGTGTAACTGATCCACCCTCGCCATCCTCTTGGCAGGAGTTCATTGGGAGATCAATGGTCATATTCTCTCCATACGCAGTCATCTGAGTTAGGAGTTCACGAATCGTGAACCCACTTCGATTGATTGCAGTGCAGGCGTAACTGGGTGTCACTTATGGTGAGATATCACATCCTTCGTTAAGTTACTTGTTACTCCCTCCTCCGCTCAACTTTAATTATTCGTGGCCACCAAGGCACAAAATCGGCGAAATTCACTTGCCTTTGGTTGTTTTTGCAAGCTTTTCTCCACTTCGGCGGAACTATGTAACATATATTATTCTGAATCCACGACGGATGCATCTCGTCATCCTCAGCAGCCGTTCATCAGGGTCTTTTACTTAAACCTCGCTACCATCTAGCCGTTATAATCCTACAAGAGCTAACTAAAAGGATGAGAGACCTGAAGTGACATACTAATGCCATAAGCAAACGTTCAGGGTCAAGACACTCTTATTCTAGTGTAAGTCGGTATCGACGAATTAGTTTGCCCTCGGCCACTACTGCCCTATTTTGCAATCAACTTATCCCACATATAACAACATTGTACAAACTCTACAAGTACCCTTTCTAGCAGACTATTACAAATGCGTCACCGATGCCGAATCCTATCTTGCAAACTTCCTCTTTTTTTCTTCTGAAGGGTACGCACTTCTTTAAAAGTAGTTTTATGAAACATCACTTTTTCGCTTCATTCTGGTCAGTTGTAAGTTTTTGGAATCGTGATCCTATTTGTTCTCTTGCTTTCGTTTGTTGTTCTTGATATTATTTCAGCTCACCGCAACCACGAATTTCAACTTTTATATGTCTAGGTTACAAATGTATGCCGAAAGTACTACTCGCTTCTGCGTACAGCATCTGTTCTTGACTGCTTTGTTAACCAAACTTTTGTTTCAAAGCCTGTATGGAGTCACCCAAGCGAACCCGTTTATTCCTCCACTTTAAGAATCGGGCCACTGAGTCGTAAGCTAGAAATGAAGGTCAGTCAAACCCCTCTCTGAATAAATAGCCGGAGAGTATTGTTTTCCCAGTAGACCTCGTCGCTACTGATCGTTTCTATTCATTTTTATTTTCGACGTATGCAACCCCTACTGAACTCAAGAGACTGGATTGGAATCTGGAAGATGTCCATAATATACTTTCCAGTCTTGATGGCACGAAGCTTGCCATTGATTCTCAAGTCGTTGTTGACTATCATCTCTCCTTCCGTGCCTGTTCTGTTTAGCAGGTCGCTGTCCTAAGGTGCATTATCGAGCGACTGAAAATGCTTGCTTGTGAGGCCGATTCCGAGGAACAATGACCCAAGTAAGGTGGACAATTACCGGCCGATTTGTCTGTCCGTTTTGGCCAAAGTACTCGAGAACGTTATGAAAAAGAGTACTGCAGCTGCTAGGGTCGAGACTGGACCTTAATGTGGTGCGACGGTTTGCGTACCTCATTAACCCATTGAGCTATACTGGGTGATGCCTCCGGGCACCTTGAGAGTTGCTCCTACCAGATTGGTCAATGGTTAGAGGTCAGACAAATTCAGTCTCCTGGTCCTCCAGGTTGGAGGTTTGAAATGGGATGGCGTCCATTTCTGTAAAACTAAATCATTGTCTGATACGGGCAACAGGCAGCAGGAGACCTGGTGTTAGCGAGACCATACGCGACGAGAGTGGGCAGATGATCCACAGCCTGTCAAAACGCTTGGAGCGTTGGGCTGAACACTTTGCTATGCAATTTAACCAACCTGAGTTATCACTTTCTTCGGGCATTGAACGCCCTTCTCCATGGGCCGTCTCCCTGGATCCGCCCTCACGCGCTGAAGTCGAACGTGAGATCAGGCTGTTGAAATTGCATAAGGCCGCAGGGGCAGATACTATTCCTCCAGCCCTCTTCAAGTTCGGTGGACCTGCTCTAATAGGTGATCTACACGAGTTGCTAGTAAAACTTTGGGAGCAGGAGACAGTCCCG